TTGATCTAAGGCGAGCATGGATGACAAAGTAGCAAAGGCATCTGCGAACTAATTGTCTTCCCGAGGAATGTACTCGAAAGTGACGTTTTCCATCCTCGAAATCATATTACGAATGACTCTAGATATGGGACCAATTTGGAGTTTCTGGTTTCCCATTCAACCTTGAGTTGGTAGATAACAAGGGATGAGTAACCAAAACTTTGAGTTTGGTCATCCCATGATCTAGAGTTGCTTGGAATCCCAAGGCGCTGGCTTCATATTCAGCCATGTTATTGGTGCAATTGAAATTTAGCCTGGCTGTTACCGGCATGTACTTCTTTTCAGGGGATATCAGAACAGCTCTGATCCCGTGTCCAAGCATATTCAAGGCTCCATCGAAGAACATGTTCCATGCATCGTCTTCGGGTTCTTCGTGTTGGATATGCATGATATGTTCATCTGGAAAATCGTCTTGTAGGGATTGATATTCGTTTGTTGATCCGTGTGCTAGGTAGTCTGCCAATGGACTACCTTTGATAGCTTTTTGGGTGACATAGACAATGTCAAATTTTGAAAGGAGTACTTGCCACCTAGCTATTCTTCCGGTTAGGACGGGTTTTTCAAACAGATATTTGATTGGATCCATTTTGGAAACCAACCAAGTCGTGTGCCTAACCATATATTGCCTGAGACGTTGAGTTGCCCACACCAATGCACAACATGTTTTTTCGAGTGGTGTATAACGAGTCTCGTAATCTAGGAATTTTTTGTTGAGGTAGTATATGACTTACTCTTTCTTTCCCATATTGTCTTGCTAACCGAGCACACATCCCATAGACTCATCGAGTGTCGATAAATAAAGAATCAAAGGTTTTCCTTCAATGGGAGGCACCAGTATTGGTGGATTGGTCAAGTACATTTTGATCTTCTCAAATTCTTGTTAGCACTCCTCATTCCAAACCGTCATTTGATTTTTACGCAACAATTTGAAGATGGGTGCACATTTATCAATGAGTTGTTCAATGAACCTTGCTATGTAGTTGATTCGGCCTAGAAATCCTCTGGTCTCCTTTTTCAGTTTTTGGCGGGGGCATTTATAAAATTTCCTTTGTTTTGTCAGGATCTACCTCTATTCCTTTTTTGCTGACGATATACCCAAGAAGTTTACCCGACCGTACTCCGAATGTTCACTTAGCTGGGTTTAGCTTAAGCTGGTATTTCCGAAGTCAATCGAATAATTTTCTCAAATATAAAATGTGGTCTATTTCATTCTTGGACTTGGTAATCATGTCATCCATGTATACTTCAATTTCTTTGTGGATCATGTCATGGAGTAATGTTACATATGACCCTTTGATAGGTAGCCCCTGCGTTCTTGAGTCTGAAAGGCATGACTCTGTAATAGAACGTTCCCCATGGTGTGATGAAGGAGATTTTTTCTCTATCTTCCGCTGCCAATTTAATCTGATTATACCCTGTATATCCGTCCATGAAAGAATAGAGAGTGTTCGTAGCAGTATGATCCACCAACGTGTCGATGTGTGGTAAGGGAAAATCATCTTTTGGGCTTGCTCGATTTAGATCCCTGTAGTCCACACACACTCTGATTTTTCCATTCTTTTTCATGATTGGCACGATGTTCGCCACTCATTCACGGTATTTGGACACAATCAAGAAGTTAGCGTCTAGTTGTTTTTGTACTTCCTCCTTAATCTTCAAGGACCAGTCGGGTTTCATCCTTCTAAGTTTTTGCTTTATTGGCTGGAAACCCTCTTTCAAAGGTAATTTATTCTCCACTATGCTTGCATCGAGTCCAGGCATGTCATGGTAAAACCAAGCGAATACGTCCACGTATTCTTTCAATAAGTGTATTAACCCTTTCCTGATGTTACTATCGATTTGGGTGCTGATATTTACTTCCTTCTTATCGTCTCCTTGTCCCAACTTGACGGCCTCTGTTTCTTCCTGATAGGGTTGTATGGAGCGAGCGTCTCTTTCTAGCAATCTCTACATGTCCAAAGAAATGGTCCCCTGCTCACTTTCGGATTCGACCCATTCGTCTTCGACTTTCGGATCCCACAAAGATTCATCAATCACAGACATGATCGTTTTTTTAAAGGTTTTGTTTTAGGTATAAATTTTATTATTCAGTTATTTTGAAATAAATAGAAGAGGGAAAAGAATAAAACGAATATGGATAAAAAATTCCTCACGTATTAAAAAAGAATATGTACACATGTCCTTTTAATCAATGATCTCACGGTCACCGGCTGGGGCCATAAGAAGTACAAAGAAAGCGCTTTTTTTTAAAAGGAACCCTAACAGCTGGTCCTTCCTATCCAACCCTATCCTTCTAGTTGCGACAGAGGCTTGACTTCTATGTTGGGGGCAGGAGCATCAAAGGTGACCCACCTGACGTCTATTAACTCTTGGACCTTGTATTTTAAGGCCCGACAGTTTTCCACTGAGTGCCCGGGAGTGCCTGATTGGTAAGCGCACTTCTCATTGGGCTTATACCACTCAGGGTAAGGTGGGCCCCCTTTCTTGGAGGGACGTATGCCAGGAGTTTGGCCTCTACTAGCTTAGGCAGTAAACTGCCATACGAGGTTGGAATGGGAGTGAACTTCCTTTCTTGCCTCTGGGATTGCCTAGTTGGCTTCGCAGAAGAAGAAGGAGTAGTGAGGCTGATGACATTGATGTTTCCCTCCTTCTTCTTGCCTAGCGAATTCTTGAATGATGTGTTGGAGGAGGAAGGTTGTGTTATCCTTCCACTCTTCAATCCCTGATCCACCCTCTCGCCTATGGTGACCACGTCCATAAAGACGGTTGACGTGTTCCCTATCATTTTGTCATAATAAGGGCCAGTCAACGAGTTGATGAACATGGACACGGTCTCCTTGTCTGATAGTGGAGGTTCTAGCTGAGCGGCCAGCTACCTCCAGCGCTGGGCATACGCCTTAAAGGATTCGTCGCTTCTCTTGCTTAGCGTTTGAAGATTTGACCTATCGGGGGTCAGATCAATGTTGTACTTGTAGCGACAGAGAAAGGCGTCGGCCAGTTGTCGCCAATTCTGGACTTGGCCCCTTTCCAGCTGCATATACTAATTCATAGCTGAATCGGTCAGACTTTCCTAACAAAAATGAATCAGGAGTTCTTCGTTGTTGGCGTGGGGAGCCATCTTACGACAGTACATAGTAAGATGACTCCTGGGGCAAGTCATTCCCATGTACTTTGGGAAGTTTGGGACCTTGAACTTTGGAGGGAAGCAGATGTTCTTAACGAGGCACATATCTGCCACCTGTCGCCGCCGTCCGTTCCGACGTCCAGGGACATCTCGAACGTTTATGCGATCGGTCGCGAAAAGATGGTTTAGACTCGCGTTTTTTGTTAAAATATGTTCATTGCTTCCGAGGTGCTCAACAACTGAACTATCCTCTAATAAAAGCAAGGTTTTCGAAAAGGGGTTCTTATGGAGTCGCCACCAATGTTTTGACCATAAACATTGGAAAAGGATAAAAAGGCGTTGATTTTAATAAAAACCAAACTTGGCCATTATAACCAGAGTTAGGTAAGGGAGTTAGTTACGTGTGGGGAAGGTGTTAGCACCCCACAACGCCCCTTTCGGGTTCCCTATAACGGATTAATTCATTTAAGTGAAGATTATGAGAAATTACGCGATTACCCTATTTTATTGCATAATATCTAAGAAATGGCTATCTACATGATTTTTATTTTATATTGCATACATAAAGCAATAAAAGAGAAAAGAAGTGAAAAGAACCTCCGTAGCAAGCTTTGTATTGCAAATCTTGAACTGTGAGGATGCATTTTGGCAATCCCCCCGCTCTACAAAGACTCTCCTCCCAGAATACAATATCGACTCGACTAAATTTTAAAGAAGAATCGAATGCTGGAATATAATTCCTTAACCGATTGTTACCTTTTTAAGGCAATCGGAGAGTTCATTCGAAGTAGGGAGAGAAGACAAGTACTTGGAGTTGTCTGGGGTGTGAAAAAGTGGCAAATGAGCCTCCTATTTATAGTTTTCACAGCCTGGCAGCTTGGGACGGCCGTCCGAGGCTTGGAAATCAAGGATGAGCATCTGGAGAGGTTGGGACGGGCGTCTGGGATTTGGGACGGCCGTCCCATTCAAATTTTGGCCCTGGGACGGGCGTCTCACAATTGGGACGGGCATCCCACTTGCAGCTGGTTGTTTGGGACGGCTGTCTCAACTTGTTTTTGCCAGTTTTTGTGTTCTGGGACCCCCGGGAAGCTTTCCTTTCTTTATTCGGACATCGATTGATGCCGATAGACGCCCGTTGAAGCTTTATCTTCATATAGGAAGTCTTCTTGGCCTTTATTGAGATGCCGGGCGAACTTTATCTTGTTATAGGAAGTCTCTTTAGCCTTTATTGAGAGCCCGGGCAAAATTAGGGGTCTACAGCTGCCCCCCCTTCACCTGCCTGACTAATTTGTTGGCCTAATATGCCGACAAAATTAGTTGGTAAGGGAAGGAGTTAACCCTTTTGCCCGGTTATCCTTCAGATGCTCCTTTGCTGATCCTCTGGATGATAAATATTTTTGATAGGTACCAACCCCTATCTGGTTTTGAGCCTTACTTTATAAGGCTCTGGTGAGTACTTACCCTCACCAGGTCTGAGTCTGTATTTCACTAGACTCTTGTGGGTACCTACCCCCACTAGGTATGAATCTTGCTCTTTGCTAGATTCTGAACCATATTCCATAAGGTTCTTGTGGGTACCTACCCCCACTTGGTATGAACCTTGTTTTGCAAGGCTTTGGTGAGTACCTACCCTCACCTGGTACGAGTTTGCATTTTGCTAAACTCTTGTGGGTACTTACTTCCGAGGTGTTCAATAATTGAACTATCCTCTAATAGAAGCAAGGTATTTGCAACCCGTTTTTTGTAATGCTCTGGTGAGTATTTTACTCTACCTGATGCATTTTGCTAAGTTTTGATGAGTACCTACCCTCATCCGGTGCAAACCTTATTTTATAAGGCTCTGGTGGATATCTCGTTCTACTTGTTGCTGGATATCTCGTTCGTACACATCTTCTCTTTGTTTCTCGAGTCTATAGTGAGTTACAGACAGAGTTCGAAAAGGTCAAATCTTTGATGATTCCATCATACATGATTGAGTTGCGAAAACTTCTGGATAGGTATCCTACATCTGAACTGAATTCTTTCTGGTTAAAGAATCTCTTTCTAGTTGCTCTGGAACAATTAGGAGATTCTCTAGAAGAAATACGGAGTTTTGCTTTTGGTGGCAACATGCTATGGGGTGGTGGTCCCGCTACCCCCACCTGGTACGAATCTGCATTTTGCTAGATTCTGATGAGTAACTACCCTCATCCGGTACAAATCTGCATTTCTGCTAGATTCTGATGAGTACCTACCCTCATCCGGTACAAACCTTATTTTATAAGGTTATGGTGGGTATCTACCCCCACCTGGTATGAATCTGCATTTTTGATAGATTCTGATGAGTACCTACCCTCATCCGGTATAATCCTTACTTTATAAGGCTCTGGTGGGTACCTACCCCCACCTGGTACGAATCTGCATTTTTGCTAGATTCTGATGAGTACCTACCCTCATCCGGTATAAACCTTATTTTATAAGGCTTTTGCTGGTACGAACCCTATTCTATAAGGTTCTGGTGAGTACCTACCCTCACCTGGTACGAACCGTATTCTATAAGGCTCCGGTGAGTACCTACCCTTACCCGATACGAACCTTATTCTATAAGGCTCTTGTGGGTACCTACCCCCACCTGGTACGAACCCTATTCTATAAGGCTCTTGTGGGTACCTACCCCCACCTGGTACGAACCCTATTCTATAAGGCTCTGGTGAGTACCTACCCTCACCCGGTACGAACCCTATTCTATAAGGCTCTTGTGGGTACCTACCCCCACTTGGTACGAACCCTATTCTATAAGGCTCTTGTGGGTACCTACCCCCACCTGGTACGAACCCTATTCTATAAGGCTCTTGTGGGTACCTACCCCCACCTGGTACGAACCCTATTCTATAAGGCTCTGATGAGTACCTACCCTCACCCGGTATGAACCCTATTCTATAAGGCTCTTGTGGGTACCTACCCCCACCTGGTACGAACCCTATTCCATAAGGCTCTTGTGGGTACCTACCCCCACCTGGTACGAACCCTATTCTATAAGGCTCTTGGGATGCTCTTTTTCGGCATTCAGTCTTTTGATTGATGAGTACAAACCCTCATCCGGTTTTTGGAGATGTGTTGGCAGCTTATTGTCTTTGATCATGCATCTATTCCATGGGGAGTGATTGATTTTTTTTCTTTTTGACTTTTCTGTTTTAGTCATCCGGTTTTACCGGGGATTTCTTTGTTCTTGGCTTTTCTTGTTTAGCCATCCGGTCTTGTCGGGGATGATTTGTTTTTGGCTTTTTTTTGTTTAGCCATCCGGTCCTGCCGGGGATTCTTGTTTTTGGCTTTTCTTTTTAGCCATCCGGCCTTTGCCAGGGATTTCTTGATGATTGCGTCTTTTTTTAGGCAGGAATCTCCTAGGGATTTGTGGTTTCGGGCTTTTCTATTTTACCGTCCGGTTTTTGCCGGGGTTTATTGATTATTGCCTCTTAATTTAGGCAGGAATCCTTTGAGGATTGGTTGATTTCTTGATTGTGCCTCTTGTTTTTTAGGCATGTGTTTCAGCAGTGGTGAAGACTTCATTGTTTTTCGCCTCTGAATAGGCTGATGTTCTGCTTGAGGATATTTGCTCTTGATAATACCTCTGAGTAGGCAGATGCTTTTTTGGAAGCTTTGTGCTTTAGACTTGTATTGCCTCTTATATAGGTTGATTTCCCGTTTCCTGGGGATATCGGTTTTTTGCTTGCCTTAGGCAGAGGCTTTCTTGGGAGTGAAGACTTTGCATTTCACTGGGGATATCCATATTGGGCATTATAGGTGATTAACTCCCTGAGGATATGAATTTGTAGTTTGCCTTTGCTGGTAGGCTCGCTGGGGATTTTTCTTTTTGGTGATCCACCAGGGATTTGATCGTTTTCCGGAGATCTATTTTGAATTGCCCCCTAGGGAGGAATGGAGTTTTTGACTCCTTATTGGATGCTGTTGTTTGAGCTGGCTTTGCCTATGCTCATATTCCTGCTGGGGAATGGGTTTTTACCTTTTTCTCGCGATTTGTATCTTTTTTTCGCGATTCTTGAAAATTTGACTCTTAAATATGTGCGCTTTTTATGCACATTGGCTTTTTCTTCTGTTGGATGAAAAGATTTCTTTTTTCTCTTTTCTTTTTGGCGATCCCAGGGAGTTTATTGACTTCCTGAGGATATAATCTTTTGATTTGATTTTCATGATGGATTCTTGAGCTCCTGATTTTGTGAGGCTCTTTATTGAGCGGAATGAAGAAATTTTCTTCTTTTTCTCTTTTTTTGAAATTCACCAAGGAGTTTGTTAGCTTCCTGGGGATCCTGACTTTTGTGAAGCTCTTTATGTGAGCAGGATGAAGAGATTTTCTTCTTTTTGTAGACTTTTCTTGATATGCTTCTACTTGGAGATTTTTTATTCGGCCTTTCTTTGTTGTGGCCTTTATTGGGGAATGAAAGTTTTTCTTTTCTTTCTTTTTGTTGCCCCTTGGTGATATGGAGGATTTGACTCCGTATTTTCTTTGATGGACTCTTGTGTAGTCCTTATTCTCCTTTGGGGAATGAGGCGGAGATTCTTGCATGAGTGTGCTTGATGACTCATGTGGTGATGCCACTGAGTCGTGAGGTAATCTTTTTATTTTGCCTCTGGAGTAGGCAAGGATCCTCTTGGGGATGATCAGACCTTTCCGTTGGCTTTTCTATTTTGATGGCTTCCTTCTTTCTTGGATGGAAGGATATTGATTGAAGCTTCAAATGATTATGTTTTTGACAACTCATGTGGTGGTGCTGAGTCATGAAGTAATTTTTTGTTTTGCCTTTGGAGTAGGCAAGGATCCATTTAGGGATCATCGAGCCTTTCTGTTGGCCTTTTTGGTATACCCTCTTTTATTGGGGTAGAAGGTTAGAGCTATTTTCCTTGAAGCTCCTTATTCTACTGCGATGGTTTTGATTTCGCCTTTTCTTTTGCGATTTTGATCTTTATCGAGAGTTTATTTGAAATCTGGCTTTTTAATATATCACGTGTGCCTTTTATTTTATAATTTTTGTACACGTGGGCTTTTTGAAGTGAAAATAGAAATAACAACTTTTATTTATTACTTCTCTTTTTTTGTGATACATTCAAGCATTTTTCAAATTACTAGAAAATATCTAAAAACCTCCTAATCATCTGCTTCTGGGCTGGAATGGGAGGATGGTGCTGGTGAAGGAATGCGGTGCTGGAACCTTGCCTAGGTCTGGACCAGATTCTCTATTTGACGGTCCGTCCTATCTTGCCTCATGGTCAGCTGATTGATTTGTTGCCGTATGAACTGGAACTCTCCTTCATGTAAGCGTGCTCATCATCTATACGTCGGTATAAGCCGACGAAGTCTGGATCATATGACTGCTGCTGGGATTCCGAAGTCGTAGGGATGTCCTGTGGTGTGTCGAAATCATGCATATCCAGCGAAATCGAGATTATGGGCTTTAAAATAAACCCTGATCCTTGTCGACTAAGGATGTTCATATGAACTAGTGTTCCTCGTCTAATCGGCTCTGGTTGGAGGCTAGCTGGGAGGTCTTCTCCTTCAGTGCATCCCCAATATTCAGCTAAAGGGGTGAGGAAGGGGGCCACCATGATGGCTCCTGCTGAGCCGCGGGTTCCGTAATCTTTTACGGCTTTCAGGAAGGCATATCCTGGGTTGCATCGATGCCCTTGATGCATACAGTAGACAATGAAAAGGTCAGCCAGCATTACCTTCCCTTGGCTTTCCTTCTGGCTGTGTATGGTCCCGGCTAGCAGTTTGTGGCATATGCGGAGCGGAGGAGAGAAAGCTGCCCCCTTCAGATGTGATGGCAGAGTATGAGCTCCGGTGATTTCCTTCCACATGCTGGTGGTAGTGAGAGCAGCAGGTTTCTCGAGATATGCTGACCTGTATTCTGGTGTTCTTGTGTCTGCTCGTTGGCAGAAGCCCATTATGATGTTAAAGTCATCCAGAAAAAGTGGTCCGGTATGCCCCATCCATCCAGTAGGAGACGGCTTGAGTGGGTGGCACTCCGGGAGTTGTGGAAGGAATTTCCACTAGACTGACAGAAGCAAGGAATTCCAGCGTAGCAGTACGGTGGATCCGAGTAGGTGGCTCACGGAGCAAAAAGTCCCATCCGATGTTGTGGATGAACCTTCTAACATCTTGATCCCAGCAGAATGTAGCTAGGATTTCAAAATCCAGCCGCAGCATGGGATGCCAGGAAAATTGTTGGACATTTGCCAACCGTTGTTGATGTGGCTCTGTCAACAGTGTTAGTGACAGGAGTTCCTCTAGCGGAGGTCCTGGTGCGTTTCCTCCTAGATGAAGCCTCTCCATGTTCCATTATATATCTCACTCACTTAAGAATGCTAGAAGTGTGTAGAAATGGAGGAGAAGCAAGATAGAATGCTTGGAATGAGGTACCAAGGCAAGGATCCGCACCTAGCATATATAGGAGGCGCCAGGAGAGTTGGGACGGCCGTCTCAATCTTTTTGAGTTGGTTTTCATGTTTTTTTTTTGTTGAGAAGGAGGATAGGACTCCATTCATTGATGTTTTAATGCATGTAATGTTTCATGATATGCATACTATGATCTATTTCAGTTAATATTTCGAAAGTTTTAACTGATGTGCTTTGGCTTCGGGCGCATTCTTGGTGATGTACCTTTCTGTCATCATGTTTCTTGATTAACAAGCTTGGATGTACCTGATTTGCCGTCTTGGACTTTTCTTGCTATAGCCGAAGAGCAATCTTTTGTTCGTAGGGTAACTGCCATATCAATGTCCTCCTTCCTTTCCTTAGGGATTTCAACCTTCCTATTGATCACTATATTTCCACATTCCCCTTTATTACTTGAATGCTTTATAGTGCAATGGTCAAGAGAAGAGAAAGAAAAGGATTTACAACAAGGGCTCGTGTTTTAGAGGGATATATTTTTTTTTGTAATAGAGGTTTTTCGTAAGAATGGCTAGCCAAGGTTGGTCTGTGTTTAGGCTAGTTTAGGCAAACGTTTCGTTCTTATGATGTGGCGTCTTTATTTTACTGATTTGTGGCGCCTTTTTGTAATTGATTAGCTTTCCTAGCCCGCCCTTTCGGGTTTTCAGCCTAGGATGTTATGCTTATGTCCTAACTTTTGTCTAGGTTTCCCTTTTTGTATTTATTTTTTAGGAATACCTAG